CAGAGCTCCTCTCATGGGATCGAGAGGTTTATCGCATGCTTTGATTTCAAGAACGTTCGATGTTGAGAAATCTAGCGGATGTAGGTAATTCGAACCTAGAAGTCATTAATTAAAAGCGGTGAAGCCTAAAAACCTGGCTCCATTTCATCTGCACATTTTGTCTTTGTGAGGACGGACACCGTCCTGTTAGCAACACCACTTTTGTGGCTGGGAGGGGACCATTCGTAGAAGTCGATGTGGTCTGAAATGTTTAATTTGGACGAAGCTAGGTCTTTCCAAGCGCCGTCCAAGTAGGACATAAAGAACCATCTTTTCCACACTTCATATTCGTTTTGCACGATGTAGAGGTCAGCGCAAACAGTTGCTTAGACATTCCGGAAAAGAACGAAAGTGTTAGCATTATTCATTGTTGCCAAAGTGCGCCAGGGCCCAGGGTGAGATTCTTTTCCACAATTTTTAAATACCTGTTCTCGTTGATCATTATGCCATGTGAGACGAATCCGGGTAGAGTTTTTCCAATAGCATTTATCCAGGCAGATAATGTTCGGTTTACCAGAACGAATTCGAGTGGAGTGCCAATGTAGAGGTCAACGCAAACAGTTGTTTAGACATTTCGGAAAAGAAAGAAAGTGTCAGCATTATTTACTGTTGCCAAAGTGCGCCAGGGCCCAGGGTGAGATTCTTTTTCACAATTTTCAAATACCTGTTCTCGTTGATCATTATGCCATGTGAGACGAATCCGGGTGGAGTTTTTCCAATAGCATTTATCCAGGCAGATAATGTGCGATTTGCGAGAACGAATTCGAGTGGAGTGCTGTGCTGTGTTTGGGCTCGGTACCACCGTTTTGTTTATCCAAATGTTGTTCATCACTAAACTTTCTTGTCCTAACATACACCATAGAATCAATCGCAAACCTTCCGCTAGCCTTCGATCGTCTCTTTTTAGCCATCAAAAGAAAAGCCTTTCTTTCCTCTTCGAGAGAATTTTTCGTTTTTTCTTTAGGAAATCGGCGTCTCGTTCACAATTTTCTGAAATGAAGATGTCGGATTGACGCGTAGATGATTGCGTTACTACTTGATAATATCCTTGGTAGTTCCAAAAGTAGGTTTCCCACGTCTTATGCGATTGGTTTCGTCCACCAGTTCCACTGAACCTCGCGACAGTCTTTGATATTGACACATTCACACAATGGGAGATATTCATTCGCTCGGAATCTTCGACAGCGCTGATCTAAGAAAGAACAACGGTGGAACGATGGCTTCTCATCCACGAAAACAGAGAACTTGTGGTAGTTCCAAGATGCAGCAAGGGCACAGCAAATCATGTATGAGTGAAAACGAACCTTTACAACACCGAAGAATTTTTAGGCTGCTCAGGATAATGCTCCCTTTCCTTTTTCGAATTCCGCTCACACAGTACTGTACTTCTTTCACAAAATGATTTTCTTTTGGAAGCTAGAATTGTCGTCTTTTACCATTTATTTTCGCTCCTTTATTTACCTGTCCAATTAATTAACTTCTAATTCAGAACTTTATTTGAGGACATGGTCCATATTTTTATCAGATCTGTTTTCCCTAATAAGAGCGATTTCCAAAGGGAACTTGGCGTCCATTTTAGGCAACCACCAAGAGCGTACTTTGAGTTCCCTCATAGGTCCCAAATGAATTCTATGTTTTGTTGTTGTTATGTTTAGGAAATTCGTCTCTACTTTTTTTGTACTTATCGATTGACAGACATGATCCTGCTTCCCATAGTGTCGGTTTTGGGATGAGACAGTGACAGAAGAGAAGAAGTATTCCATGTGCGCCTCTGTTGATCCCTTGGTACTTAACCATTCAGTAATCTCTCAAGACCCCAGTCTAGTAGCTTGTAAATACGTAAATAATATAAATGACCACAGGAACCGCCGATTATTTCTATTCATTGGTCATTGCTGTCGTTTTGAGCCGCCTCGAACTCGATATTTGGATCAGATACGCATCCAAATACTCCTGCGATCTAACTGAAAGTTATATATACGGCGTATCTCCATAACATGAACGATTAATGAGAAGAGTAGAATTAGTTTACTCAAAGCCATTTTGTGGCTATGGGAGTTAATTAAAATTCCTGCTTGCTTTGATTTTTGGGAAGTGATGATCTTTCTCTTCCTTTCTATCGAATGAGGTGGTTCTGTTTTCCTTTTGCTTGCTTTGCAAATTATGATGGCGTCATTGAAAACATCGTAAACAGTTGACATCAGTATGTACTACGTAATCGAATTGACTTATTAAATACTCAAAATTCTTCGTTTCTATTCGGACCCGCAGAGGGCGAATCAGTAGGTTCACACGGCCTTTCCTCGATGACGATTTCCTATTTGGTGTCGCGTGATGTCGCCGCGTGACGCCACCACTCGCTAACTGTCGCGCACTCTTGTTCTCCAGACATTTTTCATTTTGTTGGCTTTTTTAATAGTATACCCTTTTGAAGTGCATGAATTACTTTCCATCTTCCAATCGCTGTCGTTACCAATATTTTCTCCGTTCCTGCTCCCACGAGCTGCTTTTGTTATTGAAGTCGCCTGCTCCCACTGGCTGTCGCTACAAAACAAGCTATACTTTGTTTCCAGATGTTTTCCATTTGAATGAGAGGTCCACCCTCATAGTCAGTAAAGAGAGGTGATCGGCGCCTTGGGATGCGCCCTGCACTATACCTCCATCAAAAATACTCTCGATACCTACTTCGAATTTAAAAACGATACCAGATGCTTCTAATTTCCAAGGTGCATGTTCTGATCCTTGTGACTGAGCAATTGCTGCCGTCTGGGCTCTTCGAGCCAAATCATCCACTCTTCAATCATCTATGTAGAGCGGCCGATCGGTCTTAGTAAACAAGTAACGTCTGTTCGATGTTTTTGTGTACTTTGTTGTTACAGTAACAGATGTTATGAGGCAATTTAAATTGCCCCTTGTTGAACACCGGTCTTGATTGACGGCGATTGAAAGCAAAACATGCTGGCGCTTCAGGTCACCTGAGTTCCTCCTCGTACGTTTCGGAATTAAGCTAAGCAGCCTACTCTTCACATAATTACCAAAGGGTTAACCGCATAGTGCTTCTCTTTGCTTACTGCGCCATGCATTTGCCTTGCATTCATTTGAGTGCGGATATAGCTTGCGCATCGTTTTACCTTTCCAGAACTTTAGACCTGCTATTTTTTCTCACGGAAGTATCTCTTTTCTCCTAATTCATGCTAACTTAATTACTCATATGCTATAAGGCTTTTTATTTTTCGATAAGTAAAATTTTTAATTTTTCCAAATTGTCTTCATAATAAGAAATACTTTTATATTATGTTGTATACAATTGCTAAATATGATTTTGGTATTTTTAATTCGATTTGCTTTTTTATTCCGGATTGAATGGATAATGTGCAAGAAAGTTGATGTTGAGATGCGCCATGCAATCGTCTACTGCTCAGATTCTGCTTTTACTTTGAATGTGAACTATACATTTACTTGCTTTTCTCTTCTCTACTTTAGTAGTTGCACCATCTGTTAATGATGGGTTGTTTTGCTGGTCACGAAATAGGAGCTTTTGACTAGCTCCCTGTTTTACGTAGCTATAGGTGCTTGGCTATAAAGTCGTGGAGTCCTCTTCATCAGCTGATCTTTTTGTTTGGCACTGATCCATGAAAATACAACGAGATCTTCTTCAGTGTGTATATTTAGCAAAGGGATAAAGTCCTTGGGGCAACGCAACAGCGCAAGGGTCCAGTCACGTGCTGCTTACTCCATTCTTTATTGACGAAAATATAGTCTCGGGTCTTATTTATCACCAATAAATATTTGTCGTATCCCAGTCGCCACTGATCAATCGATCCATCTGCGGAAATTTGATGGTTGCCACAGAAGTTGTTGGGATAGTCGTCGGCGTTTTATGGCATTTTTTTGCGCCTCAATTACCTATTGTTCCCAGGTATCGTTCATTCTCCCGAACCTAATAGGCACATTGATCGATGTGATGTTTTTTCTGATGCTTGCCTACTACGTTGTGCCATACTGGTACAGAAGGTAGTTACAGAAAGGTGGTGTTACCGTTAGAAAAGTTCCCCGTCATGCTTTCTTCAGCTCTTCTCTCTAACTACCTACATCGGATGTTTTCCATATCGGTCGTTCAGCGTTTCATTGAATTATATCGTTCCTCACTGGTCAGGACTTTGAAAAGGCGGAGAGCTAGGAAGTGGTCTCGAACAATCCTTTCTTTAGAGTTAGCGCTTTTTTAGGCTTTCCAGAATTGAACCCATTTGAGCAGGTATCTGACTTATAGAATGGTTCGTACAGAGGATAACTCCTGGTACTGAGGGTGCTCAGAAGCTCCTAGCCAGATTTTATACTCGATTGCCTACTCATAGTGAGGCTGGAGGCCCGGACCGGGCGAAACTATTTCTTTCTCTTTTTCTGACCTTGGCTAGGTCCCACCACAGCGTTATGAACTATATAGGCCCGGTAAAGACCTTTTCTTCGACGGATCCCATGAGGCTACGCTCTGTTCTAGGCTTCTATGGAGATCCGAAAAGATATCTGAGCGTGAAGTAGACCATTTATTTGTTCGGTCATTCCTGGAGTTCTGCCTGTTCGTATAACGTTAAGTCTGAATGTCAATTCTTCACAAATTCATGGCATAACATTAATTATGTAGCTTTAGAATATGCCTATTTTAGGTTATGATAAGTAATCTGGGCACCCGGTTGTTCCAGTCGGTTTCAGACAAAGCAGGCGACCTTGGTGAAAAGTTTGAGGAAGAATTCGCGCGGTTGTCTGGCAATATAACTGGTGAGCTTGTACTTTCTCGAAATGTGGCACAAAACCAGTTCACTGCACAACATCAGTAAGTCGTGCGACTTCCAAACCATGGTAGGAGAGTCCTTTTCTTTGCCTCTTCTCACTATCTATGTATACTATGCATATTGATTTTATTTTTTCCCTTCTAAGGCTTCTGTGCATTCCTTGAACTAACTTTTGTTAAAACTTCAAAAAAAAAAACCTGAAGTTAACCCTTTTTGTTTCTCAGTAATTCCTCACTTTCCAGCTGAAGTTGATGCAATCGTCTCAG